TGATAGGAGGTTTGAACTGTTAAGTTACTGAATGGGAATCTTTTCATGACACACCAGTTATATCATATATTCATAAGGTTAGCCATAATAGAATTACTCATAGAAAAGTTTTAGCCCAAGTTTGGAAAAGAAAAAAAAAAACAAAAAAAACCTAAGTTCCAATTTCCCCTTAGCAAAAACTTCTTACATAGTGCTGTGAATTCCAGATTGTGAAACTTGGTTCTTGAAATATTCATGTGGAAAATATTACTGTCTAACACCTTCCAGTGCTTCCCTGTGGCCTCATTAGAAAATTTAATTCTTTGAGATCGAACGGTAAAAATGTCCATTACTGTCTGGTACTGAGGAGAAAGGAAACGGGAAAGTCAATTCCTTGCTCTGCATGACTTCGATATATTTAACTGTCTTAGATATATTTATATTTATATTTAACTGACTTAGACAGAATCCATCCTTGAAAATGTGAATTTGTAATGTGTCCTAATGTCCTCAGGCAATGAATGCTTCAGATAATATGTTTTAAAAGTTCCCACCTGTTTTACTTTTAAATTTGGATTGGTATGAATTGATGCCCTTTGGCAAATTAAGTGGTCACTTTTTTTCCTTCTGAATCCCAGACAAAAATGCAGTCTTAGTTAATGATGAGTGGTATGGTCCACCAGCATCTTTGTAACAAGTCAGTGCCTGCTTACTCAGAAGGAGAACATCTGGGGCTTTTCCTCAACATAGAGAAGAGTTGTAACTACCCACTCTGATGTGGATTGAACCCCACTTATTAAATGAGTATTAAATCAAACTACATTGTGTGGAGATATTGTGCATTTTTTTTCAGAAGCTTTAGAGGAAGCTTTTCCTTTTCTCTTTTACCTGGAAAGGGAGAGGGACACAGAGAAAGAGAGACTAGGAGAACTCTTATAATACTTACAGTAGTGCTGACCCTGAGTGGGATGCCGCCCTGGAGAGCATTGCAGATATGTTCGGTTTTCATTTTAATCTTCTCTAAAATTTAATTTGGGGGAAGAAATTATGAAATAAAAAGACAGTTGTATACAGATATGCAGTAAAAAGCACACATTAATCTTACTGGTTCCTAACTTAACTAAATGTTTGATTTTGAGCAAAACATTCCTTGATTAAATCAATGTGTTTTCCTTTTTTCCAGACAGTGGGAATACTAATGCTTATTTAACTTCTCCAAGACATTGTGAAGACATACATAAGTAAGGGAAAAGATTGTGTACAAATTAAATTACTAAGGTTTTACTCTTATATCACTTCATACTTCCAACAATCTATTCAATTCTAAATACAATTTAAAATTTTAAATCTCTTAATTTTAGAAAAATACCACATGATCTCACTCATATATGGACTATAAAAAAAGATGATCTTATACAAGTTTAGAGTGAATGGAGTTACAGAGGATGAGAGGGGAGGAAGAAGAACAAATGGAGAAAACTTATCAATGTGTACACTAAGTTACTGTTGGATAGGAGGAAGTACTTCTGCTATGTTGTTGCATAATAGAATGACTATAGATAACAAAAATATACTATATACTTTAAAAATATTGAAGAAAGAATTATAAAAGTTTTCAACATAAAGAAAAAATAAAAATTTGAGAGTATAAATATATTTAACTGATTTAAACATTATGCAATGGATTAAATGATTTAAATGTTATGCATTATACTCATGTGTTGAAACATTAAATGGTACTCCATTAATATGTGCAATGTTTTAAGTATAAGCTAAAAGATACAAAAATTTTAAAAAACTCTTAATTCACAAGGTAGAGATAAATATTGTGATGAACGCATTAGATTAAAGCATTAGATTTAACTGTCTGACAAGAGTAATCTAAGTGCTGTGAGTGTGGATATGCTTTACTCTCCAAAGATTTGTGTTATGGAAATTTAGTTAGGAACATCCAGTGTTAAGCTAAAATGCCTTTAAGAGGGATTAATGCTTTCCTCCTCAGAGTGAGTTAGTTATTTTCATGTTGAAAACGATATTGATTACAGAAAAACTGTGTCTTCCAGTTAAGTTATTCTGTATACTTGACTGTCCAATCAACTGTTTAACCCATCCACTGAGTTCTTATTATGTTTATGATTTTTAGCTCTAAAATATCAATTAGATAATTTCTAATTCACTGAGGATATTATACATTCTTTTTATATTTTGTACATATTCTCCTATTTTAAGATATATTAATCATAGTAATAAACTCATATACTCTGCCTCTACTATCTGAATCACACTACATTTGATCTTATCCAAAAGACCAAGACACGAGTCTGCTCTTCTCTTTATTCATTCCTTTTTAAAAACTCCTTAATAACAGTAAGGTTTTTTTCTTTTAGCATGTATTTTAGCCTATTTTCTACTGCTATGACAGAATACTACACAATGGATAATTTATATAGAGAAAATAAGTTTATTGCTCATGGTTCAGGAAGCTGTGAAATTGTGGATTGAAGGCTGCATGTGATGAGGCCTTCCTGGTGGGTCAATCCATGATGTCAGATGGAAAGGACAGAGAGAATGCATAGAGAGAAGGAGATTGCTTTTATGAGAAAGGCAATCCTGTGATAACTGTACCACTCCCATAATTAAGGCTTTAATCTGTCATGATGGTCCTGCCTAAACACCTCAGAAAGACTCACCTCCCAATACTATTATAATGACAATGAAGTTTCAACATGAGTTTTAGAACAGACACTTGAACCATAACAGCAGGTATAGAACTATTTTGTTGTAAGCTGGTAATTGTGCATTGAATCACCAAGTGGCTCCACTACAGAGTTATCATTTCCTGTGTTGGGAAGATGGACTAAGGAGCTAGTTACTTAAATCAATCATGGATTAAGATAGGCCAGAGGTGAGCAAGCTTTCAATAATTCTTGGACTAATCTTTACTTATAAGACACTGCTCAGATATGGGCCTGCTCGACTTTCACTTGGGAGTGTACATGACACTAACTGCTCAGCTTTGAAGGATTATGGGGATCAATCTCTACAATCCAAATGTTCACAGTCTAGCTCTTCAGCCTTTTGCAAAATGAAAGGCCAGAATCCAACTAAATGTCTTAATGGAAAAACTGAATGTGCTTGAGACAAGCCACTTTACTGTGTCTTGTGTACAAAATATAGCATGGATTTAGGAAAATATGCCTTTTAGAAATTTCAGAGTAGCTCACCAACATCTCACAATGTAGAAGAGACTTTAGGGAAAATAATTACCAGTTGAAGTCCCCCAAAGGTCTACTTTATGAATGCAGGCCTGGGAAGTAACTAAGAAGACTGGAGTCCCTCTGCTTCTTAGCAGAGTTCCTGTCCTCCAATGGGGCCAAACTTCCTCCTCTATTCACATCCAGCATCCACTAGTTCTCCAGAGAAAAGAACACCTGTTGATACTCAACTCACTTCACAATTGTGTTCCAGTTGGAAAATTTAGTTCATTGAGTCCTCCTTGCCTTCCCAGCTCTCTGATGACCTCAAAGTATGGTTTTTAAGGTTTAATTGGAGACCTCTAGGTCTTTTTCCCCAGAGAAAACAAAATTTGCCAAGACTTATTACATCCTACATACAAAACTTGTAAATAACTTCTTCATCCTATTTTGTAATCAAAGACGCAAAGGAATTGTGTGGCAACTGCTATTGTCCTGTTTAGAGATTATAAAGACATTCTCCCTAAGTTTAAATCATTTTCCCAAGGGGGTAAAGGGCAGTGGTTAAAAAAAAATCTCTGATGTCTGACTCCTTCCTGTGTTCTCCAGCATACCAAGGTAAGTTTTATAGCCCTCAGAATTCAGTCACAAAACAAGAAACCACACTCCTGAGATAACAAGTTACTAAGTAGAAGGCATAGCTGTCACCATGAGGACTGGAGATCAATGGAAAGAGGTCAGATATTCACACCCAGATCTTGGGAATAGGTTCTATGATTCTAGGACCCCAACCTCTGAGGACAGGTACAGCCAAGTTGGTGCTAGAACCTCTGGAATCTGGCAGTGGGCTCAGAGAACCAGGACCCAGGGCTCTGAGGATAAGTTGTTTGGTAGCTTTGCTGTATTTCTGGGGCTGATGATACTTTTGCTTCTGGAAGTTCCTAAATACACATAGGAATAATGTACAGACTGAAAACTACTGCAGCTGATTTTTAGATGAAAACTCGAAGTGAGGTGGTGCCGATGCAAACTTCAAGCAGTTCCCACAGATATCCAGTCTCCCTGTGGCTCCCCCAAGGGCAGAAACTGCTAAGGAGGACTGCAAAGAGGTGTGATTTGTGAGTTTCCTCTCTCCCTGTGACACAGCAGAGTGAAAAAGGAAGGTGGTTTTGATTTGAGAGATGGGGAGTACACACACACACACACACACACACACACATGATCCATCCATGCAGTAGGCCTTTGCTGAAGAAACACAAAGAACTATTTCCATGAAAAATAAACTACGAGGTGGGCTGAAGTTTGTAGTAGAATGCTTGCCTAGTGAGTGCTAGGCTCTGAATTTACTCCCCGCTACTGCAGAAAACATAAAGAAATAACAAACAAATCACTAAAATTTCTTGAAATAATGAAAAGTAGGAATGTTCTAGGAATTACATTTATTAAATGGTGAATGTTTCTGATCCTGAAGCAATGATCTCTGGACCTTTCTGTCAGTGGTTTCTAACATCGGCAATAACATTTCTACTGCCAGGATAATAAATGTTAATGCATGGGAAATTTCATTGAGGATTGGGATTCTTTTCTGAAAATGCAAAACTTTTGCTCTTCTGTCTCAGTTAAAATTTAAATAATGTGCTCATCTTTGTCAGGTGAAGAGTAAGTTTGAACACTCAGCTATTCCATCTCAGGTGAAGGTTGCACATTTTCCTCTTCTTTCTTAGGCATTGTTTATCGTTTTTTCTTACAAAACAAAAGTAACAAAATCAAAAGCATAAGACCAAGTGGAAATAAAAAAATAAGTGGTGCAGGGAAATACTTCGTTGCCATTTTCTCAGGGGGTGGTGCAGGAGTTGTTTCATTGGGTGGTGCAGGAGTTGTTTCATTGGGTGGTGCAGGGGTTGTTTCATTGGGTGGTGCAGAGGTTGGTGCATTGGGTGGTGCAGAGGTTGGTGCATTGGGTGGTGCAGGGGTTGGTGCATTGGATGGTGCAGGGGTTGGTGCATTGGATGGTGCAGGGGTTGGTGCATTGGATGGTGCAGGGGTTGGTGCATTGGATGGTGCAGGGGTTGGTGTAGGGGGTGGTGTAGTGATTGATGCAGGGGGTGGTAGAGTGGGTGGTTCAGGAGGTGGTGGGCCACTGTCAACACTCCCTCCGTGGCCTTTTTCTGTGCAGTTGGGGGGACCCCAGTAAGGGTCACAATGGCAGTGATGTTTGTTGTTGCAGATCCCTTTCATAGCACAGTTCTTTGCTGAACATTTTGCATTAAATGTCAACAAAAATTTAGAGACACACTTCCGGCGAATGCACACAAGTCCATCACCACACTCTGTGCCATCTTTCACAGCACCAATATCTGGTATGGTCATCCCAAAATGATAGTCGGTACCCCAGTAGGTCACACCATTGAAGTCAATCCAATGCACTGTAGAGTGACCTGTCAAAGTAGGAATTTCTTTCACATTCTCACACTGAACTCTTCCACAGAGGAAGTCTGATATATTACACATAACATAGTGGTCATCACTGAGACCACAGTTACCAAAGCGGTCACCTCGGCGGTTTACTTCCGTGTAGCAACTCTTCTGTGCACTCCTGGATTCTTTGCCAAATATCTGTTTGCACTGTTCATCACGTACATTGCATGTCTTCTCATGGCAGTAGCCACTGTCCCTGCATCGGAGCCCATCCTGCACATACACATCTTCTGGACACTCAGGTGAGGTGCCATTGCACCACTCTGGAAGATCACATTCACTGACATTTTCTCTACACTCTTTACCTCGTGGCAAGAGATAGCAGTCTTCACAACAAAGCCCAGAAGCACATTCAGCCCCATTTTTCAGAGTGCAACTTACTGAACAACATGGATGGTTTGAACACAAATTTGGGGGTCCACAGTCACACTCCTCTCCTTCTTCAACCACACCATTCCCACAGACTGTCCCTCTGGGGCGGGCCACTTGTTTTGGTGGTGCAGTTCGCAAACAGTTCATAGATGGAAAGTTTTCCCACATATAAGCATAACTGCAGTTGCTGAATTTTGGGCCATATGGTGGTTCTCTGGACATTATACAACGGGGTTGCCCGCATGTACATATTACTGCATCATGGTACATACCCAGATTGTGTCCAATCTCATGTGCTATGGAAAGTGACAATTCCAATGGTTTATCATCCATGACACGATTCACTCCACATCCCAAGTGAGATTCACATACAGTTCCAACATAAGATAAGCCAAGATATATATGAAAATCTTGTCTTGCCAATAAATGTACAACATCAGTTTTTACGCGAGATTGAAAGCTAATTTTCCTCCAATTGCAAAAATCATCCAGGAGTTTAGATATGTTATCAGTCACACTGACAAGGTTCCTTTCATTCCAGACCTCAAATCCAAGTAAAATCAATTCAACATCCAATTTTTTTTAAAGGGAATGTACTGTATTGCCAATGACAAATATTTCCTGTGTAATAAGTGAGATATTACTTTTCTTATAAAGGTATTGCTCATAATCTACAACAAAAACTGCTTCAAGATACCATGCGTGAGTCCACCAGCCTTCATAACCACTTTGCCTCAGAATGGTATTATTACTCCTTTGGAGCTTCAGTTGTCGTGCTAGTTCTTCTTCTGTTAGTCCACATCTCATGGGTGGGAATTGTGTCTTCTCTGTGTCCATCATATGTTCAAATGTGGTAGAAAGTCTTTTGGGTTTGATTTCATAAACAGTGTCATGGACCTCTAGTATTCCTTGAAAGCCCCCCAAACAGGTGCTAAGAGCAACCAGGGATTCTGGGTCCCCTTCCACATAGCCATCATAGTAGCAGTCACTCTGGACAAAAGGGTGGTCCTCGAGCAGAGCACGCTCCTTTGTGTAGGTGAACACAGAGAAGGATTTGGACACCAGAAGTTTCTTGGCCTTCATGTGGACAATGTGTTTCTCGCCTCCAAAGTGAAGACTATAGGAGATCCAGTCAGGGGGTCTCATGACTCTATTGGTGCCAGTTATCCTCAAGGGTATCACTACTTCTGGGAGGCTGTGGTGTTGAGAGTGGCCAATCTGGGCCCATCCAAAAAGGAAGAGTAAGATGCCCAGGTACAGCTGCAGGACAGTGATCCTCATATGCACCAGGGCCTCACCCACAACCATCATGGACAATGAGGCAGGCGAAAGGGCAGGGCAGGAGGTGCTGTTGTCCTGTCGCCTCCCTTTGACTTGGTTGCAAGCAGCATTGACCTTTAATAGTATGTCTTCTGGCAGAATCAATCCATCAGAGCAACACAACTAAAAAAAAAATGAAAAGGGGAGAGATGGGGTGGCTAAATTATGAACTGTCTTAGGTGGAGGAGAACAGCAGGATATGGGCTAAAATGCATTAGTGTTTGGTTAGAGCATGACTCCATATAGTGCATTGGATTTGCTTTTTAATTTTGGTGAGGTAGGGTCAGACTGTGAGTGTTGAAAGAATGAAAAATGGCTACTGGTTGAAAATTGCCACACATGGATGATGGACATTTGGGTTTAAGGATATGTGGGTTCATAATATCATTCTCCAAATACATGTACAAATGGGAATATCTTCACAATAAATATTTAAAACAGAATCTAAATGAAAAGGAAAATTGTATGCCTTGTTTTGATAAGGGAGTCTCAACTTATACAAATTTACTTGGAATAAATAACAATAGGCATCCCTTTCTATTTCAAGTGATTTTTTAGACACATTACTCAGCAGAGACATGTAAATGAATTCTCACATTATTTTTCTTCATGGTCCTTAATATAGATTTCCATACAACTAATTATGACTTGTCCTCTTTTCCTCCAATCCTGTAGGATTTCAATGTCAAAACATCAATTGTCCTTCAAAAATATTAGAATCTGCTTATAATGAATACTTTCAGGTATCAAAGCAAGCAAAAGTAGAAATGGAAGGGGGAATACCATGGGTTGATAGATGTTACTCAAAGGTGTTTATATGAGATTATACTCATACCAAAAACAATATTTATCAATTTCTCTGGCCCTATGATAAGAAAAGGAGATCAAACAAGTTGGAAGTGTAGCAGTTGGAAAAGAGAGGGTACTAAATGCAAAATAAAGTGCCTTCAGAAATGAAAAGGGAATCAATGAACTCTGAGAGGATGGAGGAAACCTTAAGTGCAGGTGATGTTGTACTAGAGCATAGGCTTCAATATCCCTGGCATAATCCCCCAAAATCAAAGGCTGAATGTTTTCTTTTATATAAGGATGCTGACTCATAATGGCAATGGGGGTGGGTAGCTTGGGAGAAATAGAGGAACTTTAGATAGGGCAAATAGGAGAGAGGAGTAAGAAGGGGGCAAAGGAGTAGGAATGATGGTGGAATGAGTTAGATATCATTACCCTAAGTACATGTATGAAGACACAAATGATATGAAAATACTTTGTGTACAATCAGTAACTTGAAAAATTGTGCTGTATATGTGTAATACAAAATGAATTGCATTCTGCCATCATATATAGCAAATTAGAATAAATAAATAATTTAATTTTAAAAATCCTTGGCATTTTAGGATGCCGAGGAAACCAGCTCCAAGATTAACTTTCCCATGATTTGTCTCAGAAATGACATAAAATACAGAAGTACCCATTAAACAATCATTTTGAGAGTACAAATATCCTATGATGAATGAGTGTAAATGAGAAATCTGATAAAAGCACAGTTCCTGGCTGATAATACTGATTTGTTGCTTTGTTATCAAGCAAAGTAGGAATGATGCTACAGAATATGAAGATACTGTGCAGCACACCTGGGAAACATCAAAGGATGATGCAGGTTAATGGTGTGGAACATAAATTTGCAGTGTTTGCAGCAAAGATATACTTTAAGAATCTGTTAAATTGCATTCAATAGTTTCCATATAACATGCCTGTTTTTCTTGACCTCATGAGAGTATCCACAGTTTTCATGACATCGTTAAAGCAATGATAACATAAAAGTGATGACATTAAGAACCACCACACTGGTTAGGGGAGAAAGAGCAACAGCACCGGCAGAGGAATGTGGAATGTGCAATGAGGGATCTAAAAAACACTGATCAAATACCATTTCCCACAAAAGGAATTCAAACACAAAAGTAGCTGGATTTAGTATCTGTTGCCTCCTGGACTCAGGACACATTTCTCCTTAATTTTTTCTTTGATCTTGATCCTCATTTCTTTGAGATTTTCGCTCTCTACTCATTTTCCTATTACTATGGAATCTTCCTCTCACAAAACACAGCAGTCTCTCCTCTGTTATCAGTTCTTCATGGAAGACTCTTTTTCTTAGTTTTACAACATTTTTTGAGTGAACGATTTGAAGTGCACCAAGGGAGATTTTTTTTTTCCTCATAGCCCCACTCTGTCATACAGACCAGATATTCAGTCATAACTTGCTTCGGTTGCAAAGCCACTTCCAAACTGAAAAACTAGCAGCCATCTCCTTCCACCATTATCTACCATTCTTTCTCATACTTTCATCAACCTCCTGATCAATCCCCGAAAAAGCCAGGAAGTGTTGGGTGCCTTCTGCTGCTTTCTTCTCCACCAATAACCTTATCCATGCTCTATGTTAAGCAAGCCTGTGGGCAACCCACAAGCTCCCAGATGTGTTTTTGTTACCGTTACAACTTGTGCTCAACAGTTTTGAGCCATTGACGGAAAACTGTGTCCTATATCATGTTATCATGCTTGGCCATCTTAACTCTCACATATTAGTTAGCCATAATTTTATTCTTAAATAACAGTTACTCATCAGTTTCATAGAGGATGCACAATGTTTTCCCACTTTTCAAGCTTCCGTCATTAACCTGTCTTTCCCATACCTCAGCTCTAGTCTCCATTGGTTCAACCACTGTTGACCAATGTGCTCAACCCAATGGAGATTACTGCATTCACCACTGTGGCCAAACACTGCCAATACTTCTGGGGAAATAAATCATAGCAGAGTCTATTTAGGAGGATGGATAAGGTAGGGGGACACACAGAACTAGAATAAGATAGCCTGACAGCTCAGCTTAAAGGACAAACTGACAGATATTGATTTTAAATACTTCCATGATTTTAAAAATCTGTGCATTTTGTCCACATGGTCTCCAAACTTACTGTTTTTTTTTTCCTGAATTTCCTCATCAATGTGTAGGACCCTCAACTGAAAATCAATACTGTCTTTGTTTTTGCAAGTTGTTATTATTATCAAATTTCCATGATGGTCATTTAAGTTCTAAAACCAAGAATTTTTCATTTAATGCTATTTAATAAAGGATCAGGTGATTTTATTTTTTTTTCATTTGTCACTGCAGACAGGTGGTAGGGGACCTGTTTGAAGCTGGGCACTATCCTCATGTTTAAAATGACAAGAGCACTGTGATTGCTTGGGGAAGTAATTAAGTGAAAGATGAGGAAGCTAATTTCATAAATGCCAATAGCCCACAGGAGTAAGCAAGATCAGTAAAGAATACCACTGAGGACAACTTCTCCAAATCATGAGTAAAATTCTGATCTGCTTCTCTGCTCTCCATGTCTTTAGATGTATTTAATAATTATGAAGGTGTGTAGATTTTTGTTGTGATGAAAATTGTCATTGATTACGTGTGTGCATTGTTAAGAGTGAACCAAAATAAATCTATCAGAATGTATTCTTAAGACATCACCTTCCAAGCAGTTAGTAGGAAAACAAACTCAAAAGAAAATTGGAGCCAGGTTATCTTTTCACTCATTACATTTTTTTAAATACAGGGACTCCAGATGTCAAGACCTGAGGGAATACAATGCTTTCATTCATAAAGTGGAATAATTTCATAATAGTACAGAGACCTCATAGTTGATTGTCATAAGCCAAAGCTTCATCAAATCCATCATTCTTATATTCTAATTACTACCTACACCTCACTCTTATTTATAGTCTAATTCCATGTTTTCAATCTTGAATAACAACACATTAAAAATGGTTTGCAGGGTTCCCACCAAATAAAGTAGAATAGGAAATGGTAAAGTGCATAATCTTCTTCAAGATCTGTATAAGTAGGCTGGTGATGTAGCTTGGCAGTAGAATGCTTACCTGGCATGTGTGAAGCACTGGGTTCGATCCTCAGCACCACATAAAAATAAATAAAATAAAAGTATTGTGTTCATCTACAACTAAAAAAATATTTTTAAAAAGATCGGAATAACTGGCAAGAAATCATGGTTTTATTGAGCTGCGTGTGGGGAGAGGTGTAAGGGTTTGTGTTCATTCATGTCCTCATTATTTGAGTTTCTCGTCTTCAAAACTAAACTCTTGAATGACTTACCAATAGATGAAGTGATGATTCCCATAATTATTTCTAGGTATAGCCCCCTTCGTGTCTCATTTCTGACACCCACCAACAAAGACTTTCTCAAGAACTCTCATGACAAAGAGAAATATGAATCCCCTCCCCTTCAATTGTCTCTCATTTGATTGAGCTCTAGATTGAGCTTCCTAGCAACAAGAGTCTCTCAGAATTCAGAAGAACATGACAACAACCCCAGATTCCTCTTCACTCTGGCTCCATTAGCTCTATCAAACTTTATTGCTACTTACTACTCAGTATAAATAACCCTGACTTCCTTACCCACATTGATTGTTCAATGTGAATAAGACTAATTTCCTTACTCCTTACTCCCGTTCTATATGTTCCCCATATACACTGTGTACTTTGCTCATACCACTATCCTGGTCTCAGTTTATTTCAACATTGAACCACACTGTGGAACACTTGAAGGACTTCAAGTTCCAGAAAAAAAAAAATTGAGCCCATTTAAAAATCATTCTCACAGACACCCAGACATCAGCATTCATCTGTATCTTCATTCCTTGGGCAATGACTGAGAGGCATTGCATATCTGCAGATGAACTTTCTTGCCTGCCACACTCCAATTTTATCACTATTTCTTAAGGGACCAAACTTGATTTGATGGTTTTCATGTCTGTATTATTTTGCTAGGGCTGTCATAGCAAAGGAATATAAAATATGTACTCAGAAAAAAGGAAAGAAATTTACTGTATGATAGTTTTTAGGAGCCAGAAGTTCAACATCATGCTATCCTCACGCCCCTTGTGCCTCTAAAGTTGTTAAGGAATGATTTAGTTCAGCCTTCTCTCC